GCCCCGCCGGCTCCCTCCTTCCCTCCCTCCGTCAGTCCCGCCGCCCGGCCGGTGCCCGCTGCGCCCGCAAGCTGTGATGGCCTCCATTTCCCCTTGACATAAAGGCGTCGGGGTCGGTAGCGCTAGAGGACAACCGGGCTGTCCTCTGTGATGGCCACAGAAAGAGCTCCCTCCGCCGGCTCAGCCTCAGGGACGCGTCCACACGTTCATTAGTGCGCAGTGGCTACTGCGCATTACCCGCCGTGGTGCAGCGGCTTTAAGCCCACTTCATGGAAATGGGAGCCTGCTCCCTCACTTGCTCCGAGGGCATTATGGCCGAGGGTGAGCAAAACTGGGCTTGGCCCTGCCGGGAGGGATGCCTGCCCAAGGTTTTGGAAGCAGGCACGGGTGGAGGCAGTTTGCGGTAGAAGGGCTACGTAGGCTTCTGGACTCTTGGATTTGGAATTAGTTTTGGCTAATTTGGCCTTGGATACAAATTATAAAAACAAAAACACTTCTATAATCCAAGACTAAATAAATGCGGGGCAGAGCTCACAGATGCCTTTGTACTGAGGCTGCTGTGTGGTAGTCTAATAACATGGGGCAGAAGCGTATTCGCACTGTCCGTGCTGTGATGCGCTGTTGCGCAGCGTTATGAGGCTGCTGCACAGTTATGGTCTGGTGTAGATGTGCCCGCTGCCTGCTCCTTTCCTCCTGGGACCCCTGGTTCTTGTAGGGGGAGAGTTGGGAAGAAATCCATGTTTGCTTTCCCTGCTCCATGTGGTGTTTTGTAAACCCTTCTGTCCCCTCTCCTTCGAACCGAATAGGTGTCTCCTCATTCAGGAGCCCTTCTGCACCACTAATCCCCTTCTTTCCCCCTGCAACGCCTCAGACATGGTTTCAGCTGGTGCCTGAACCCCTTTTTCCCTTAGCCGACAACATGATGGAGAGGGGGGAATATTCAGCTTCATTTATGACCCAGCTTCTGTGGCCAGGGACCCCAAAGGCCAGTCTGCACTGGGTTTGGCAGGGACAGGAATCCCTCCCTCCCCCTCCTGAAATGACATGGCTGCAGGATGGAGTGGGGATGATGTGCCCCAGCCCCAGGACACCAGGTTTTTACTGCCTGTGTCAGATCCCCCATTCACATCAGAAACCAGAGAGGCAGATGCTTCTGCACACTCTTGACTCCTGAAATCATAGGAAAACACAACTCAGAGGAGCAGACATCCACCTGGAGTCTTGGGACTTTCAGAAACCCTGCTGAATGCCTTTTGGACAGACCACCAACAAGAAATTAATCGAGCACGAGCTAAACAATTTCTCATAACAGGGAGGCCAGAAATCCTGAGAGATAAACATGTCAAAGCATTATCATAAAAACAGGTGTTGCCATAAAACCCTATGCTTTGTCCTTTAAAAAAAGAAATATTGAAGATTGCAGCAAAAGCTGTCGAGATGCTGTTCAATATGACACTAGGGACTGTTTGAAACTAAAATTTTCTCTACAATTGAAAATACTATGAGAAGAGTATTAGCACCCAAATTATCAAGAAAGCAGTGACCAAAAATCTTCCAGTAACTAGGCAGACAAGGTTCTTTGGGTAAATCTGATATCTTTTATTAAACCAACTAAATAGTTGGAAAAAAAATTTTTACCAAGCTTTCGGGTTTAAAAACCCTTCCTCAGGCTGAGGAAGCATTTGCAGTTGGTGTGTGCTCTTCCTGGATGGAATGAATAGTAAAGAGGCTGGACTGCATTCAAGAAGGGCAGTCAGCGAAGGTGTAAATTGAGGAGTCAGTGGGTGAGAAGCAGGCCGGGGGTGGGATGAATGTAGCTGGTAAATAGTGGAGAGGTACCTGGGGAGTCAGATGTCAGGCAGGTTATAGTGTGTCATAAATCCAATGTCTATATTTAGCCTATGATTTTTTGTACCCAGGAGGTTAAGTGAAGTTTGTAGGCTTGTCTATGAAAAGTATTTTGTAAACTCCCTTTGAGGATCAGAACTGAGAGATTGGAGAGAGAGTGGTTTTCTTGTGAGAAATGTGCCCCCACCGGTAATTGGGTAGTCTTGTCTTTAATAGATTTCTGCTGTGCATTCATTCTGGTGCGCAGTTCTTGTTTGGTCTCTCCAGTTGTTGTTTGGTTTCCAGTAGCTATTTATTTCATAGTTTCTAGGGTTGGAAGGGACCTGAACAGATCATCAAGTCCGACCCCCTGCCCTGGGCAGGAACAACTGCTGGGATCATAATACCCTAGTCAGATATCTGTCCAACCTCCTCTTGAAGACCCCCAAAGTAGGGGAGAGCACCACCTCCCTTGGGAGCCCATTCCAGAGCCTGGCAGCCCTATCCGTAAAGTAATGTCTCCTGATATCAAGCCTGAGCCTACTCTCAATCAATTTGTGACCGTTATTCCTTGCTATCCCAGGTGGTGCCTGGGGGAACAGAGCCTCACCTATTTTCCGCTGGTCCCCCCGGTGAGTTTATAGACGGTCACCAGATCCCCTCTCAGTCTTCTCTTGTGGTGGCTGAATAGATTCAGGCCCTTTAGTCTATCTTCATAGGGCCTGACCTGCTGCCCCTTGACCATGCGAGTGGCCCTCCTCTGGACCCTCTCAAGGCTAGCCACATCCCTCTTGAAGTGCAGCACCCAGAACTGGACGCAGTACTCCAGCTGCAGCCTGACCAATGCCACAGAGGGGAAGGATCACCTCCCTGGACCTGCTTGTGGATGCACGACAAGATAGATGCACGACAAGGTGTGGTTAGCTTTACTGAACGCTTCCTCGCATTGGCAACTCATATCCATCCTGGAGTCAACAATGACTCCAAGATCCCTTTCAGCCACTGTGTTGATGAGAAGGGTGCTCCCCAGTCTATGGGTAGGTGTGTTGCTGGTTCCTTCTCCCTAGATGCAGCACCCTGCATTTGTCTGTGTTGAATTCCATCCTATTCTCATCCGCCCACCTCTGTAACCTGTCTAGATCTAGCTGGATTCTGTCCCTCCCCTCCAGTGTGCCCACCTCGCCCCACATCTTGGTGTTATCAGCAAATTTGGACAGCGTGCTTTCCACTCCCACCTCCAAGTCGCTGATAAAGATGTTGAATAGCACAGGCCCAAGACTGAGCCCTGGGAAACTCCACCGCTCACATCCCTCCAGGTTGAAAACAACCCATCCACCACCACTCTCTGGGTGTGACCGTTGAGCCACTTTGCCACCCATCTGACTGTGTAGGCATCAATGCTGCAGTTGCTTAGTTTTTTTATGAGAATGGGGTGAGAAACAGTGTTAAAGGCCTTCTTGAAGTCCAGGTAGATGACATCCACCTCAACACCTGCATCCAAGGACTTTGTGACCTGTTCATAAAAGGAAACAAGGTTAGTCAGGCAGGATCTGCCCACAGTGAACCCGTGTTGGTTGTCCCTGAGCATTACCTCCCCTGCTGGGTGCCTGTAGATGTACTCCTTGATAATTTTCTCAAAGGTCTTCTCAAGGACGGAGGTGAGACTAACTGGCCTATAGTTACCCGGGTCCTCCTTTCTCCCCTTCTTGTAAATAGGGACCACATTGGCCCTTTTCCAGTCTTCTGGGACCTGGCCAAAGCACCACAAGTGCTCATACAGCCATGCCAAGGGCCCTGCTATGACCTCTGCCGATTCCCTCAGTACCCTCGGATGAAGAGCATCTGGACCTGCTGATTTATACATGTCCAGCCCCTCCAAGAGTTCCCTAACTAGATCGTCCCTGACCTTAGGCATAGCACTGTGTCCCCTGAGCCTGTCCGTAATCCTAGTGGGGGAGATGTCCTGGTCCCTGCTCAGAAATATGGAGGCAAAGAACTCTTTGAAGAGACCAGCATTTTCCTTTGCTGCAATCATCAGATTGCCAAGCCTGTCCTGTAGGGGCCCCATGTTACCTGGTGCCTTCTTACTCCCTTATGTATATGAAAAAGGACTTTTTGTTATCCTTAATTCTGGTTGCCAGCCCTAGCTCCATCTCTGCCTTGGCCTTCCTAACAGACTCCATGCAATCACGAGCAGCGGAGAGGTGTAATCCTCCTTGGTGATAGCCCCTTGCTTCCACTGATTGTATGTCACCTTTTTTGCCCTCCGGCCCTCCTGGATGCCTTTACTGAGTCAAGGGGACTTTTTAGCACTCTTGCCCCCTTTGGTTCACATTAAGACTGACTCCCTCTGAGCTTGGAGGATCGTCTCCTTAAGGAACAACTACCCGTCCTGGACTCCCATCTCATTGAGGCTCCGAGTCCACAATGTCTCTCTTACTAATCTCCTTAGCTCATTGAAGTCGACCCTCCTGAAGTCATGGACTTTTGCCTTACTGCT